ACAGACATCTCCACAGACCATCCTAGAACTGGGACAGTCATCCAACAAACCAAGAACAGTTTATTGTAGAAAAGCAAAGAAGCCATCATGAAAGAATTCTAGGAACTGTTGAGTATGAGAACCAAGCTCTATTTGTAGATATCCAGATTCAAAACTATTGTGCTGCCTCCTCCTGTCACACTCTACAATGGACCGAAGGACCCTCCATTGGGTGGGAAGCTCAGTTGCTTTCCACCTTTGATTTTGGCAAAGGTTAGAACCGGTAACAGGTTGTGTGAAAATTCACTTTTACACTAACTGGCCTTCGAGAAAGACAGCATAACAATTGAATCTTCTTAAATCCATCTTCCTAGCCATCTGGCTGTGCTGACTCTTGAAAGTTGTGGTACATTTCATCCAAGGCTCTGGCATTAATCAGGCGTTGGAAGAGAGTGCATGTGTCTATTAAATGAGCATTCTGCCCACTAAAATCAATTTCTTTGAAAATGCCTCACCTAACTTGTGGCATGCAGACTTAAGTGCATTACCGTCTCCAGGAGGCCAGCCCTGTCCTTAAGAAGCCTCTGGAGTTTGGCATCTTTTCACTCACATCCTCCATGGGGTGAGTGCTGGAACAACCTTGCCCCTATGCAGATCAGACCCTGATGCCCCCTAAGTGAAGGGGGAGAGGGCAGTCTCTTCAAAGACAGGCAAAGGGTTAGAGGCCCAAATATAGGCTGCAAAAATTTTTAATGGGGGTTTTAAAGTAATTTTAAATTAATCAGACCAATTATTAATATTTGTTTTTAATTATGTTTTAATCTGTAGTTTTGGGATTTGCATTTTTATCTGGTTGTTAGCCACCCTGAGTCCGCAAGGAGAAGGGCGGGATATAAATATAAATAATAAATAAATAATAAATAAATAAAATCCAGATGCCCACTAGATGGCAGAAAAGGGATACAGAAAATGAACTCTATGCTGCCATCTAGTGTTCTTCTGGAATAGTCAAGTTGTTATCTGCTATCTTCCATCTGATGCAGCCAACCAACTAAGACAGGGGTAGGCAACCTTGGCTCTTTTATGACTTGTGGACTTCAACTCCCAGAATTCCTGAGTCAGCCATGCTGACTCAGGAATTCTGGGACTTGAAGTCCACAAGTCATAAAAGAGCCAAGGTTGCCTACCCCTGAACTAGGAAAACAAGATGGACAAAAGGAATATTGCTGCTCAGGAATACAAATAAAGAGTAAGGAAACTGCGAAGAAGCCGGATTAATTCTTTGCATCTATTTTCATTGCAGAAAATGTGGTTTTTTGAAACATGTATTTTCCCAAAGGGTGTCGGAGGCAGGGAAGCAAATAACAGTGACAAGAAATGAAGTTCTCTACTTATCTGGCTGACCAAATCAAAAGAAAGACATTGCTGGGTGCAGATAGGATCCCTGGGGAAATAGCAAATTCAGTTCGCCCTATAAAACAATAGAGTCATTCCAGTTTTTAAACAGAGATAGAGGAAATGATGGGATGTTTTAAGGTCTCCTCTGTGTGTTTCGTGACAGACAAAATGGAAAAGCATCCAGAAAGCCAAATCTTGTTTTTCCATAACCAGATCTTGGATTGATGTCTTTTTATGACAGAGAGACATGGCCTTAACCAACAACAACCTAAAACCAGGTGCCCAACAATCTAACCAGCAGATGGTCAAAATTGGGCCATGAAGAGGTCACTATCAGTCCCAAAGGTGATTTTTCAAAAGGCACCTGGACTTTGTTTTTTCTTTGAAGACGTTTTGCTTCATATCCAAGAAGCTGCTTCGGTTCTAATAATAATAGTAAAGTTGGAAGGGACCTTGGAGGTCATCTAGTCCAACCCCCTGCTCAGGCAGAAAACCCTATACCATTTTGGAAAAATGGCTGTCTAGTCTCTTCTTAAAAACCTCCAGTGTTGGAGCATTCACCGCTTCTGGAGGCAGGTTGTTCCACTGGTTAATTGTTCTCACTGTCAGGAAGTTTCTCCTTAGTTCTAGGTTGCTTCTCTCCTTGCTTAGTTTCCATCCATTGCTTCTTGTCCTGCCTTCAGGCGCTTTGGAGAATAGCTTGACTCCCTCTTCTTTGGGGCAGCCCCTGAGATATTGGAACACTGCTATCATGTCCCCCCTCGTCCTTCTCTTCGTTAAACTAGACATACCCAATTCCATCAACCGTTCCTTATATGTTTTAGTCTCCAGTCCCTAATCATCTTTGGTGTTCTTCTCTGTACTCTTTCTAGAGTCTCAGCATCTTTTTTACATCGTGGTGACCAAAACTGGATGCAGTATTCCAAGTGTGGCCTTACCAAGGCATTGTAGAGTGGTATTGAAGCTTCTCGGTCTACTTCAGTGTTCCAGAGTTACACGATCCCTCCTTGTGACTTTCTGACAAGCAAAGTCAATGGGGAAGCCAGGTTCATTTTACAACCATGTTACTAACTTCACAACTGCAGTGATTCCTTTAACAATTGTGCCAAGAAAGGTGGTAAAATGGGGCAAAGCTCACTTAACAACTGTCTTGCTTAGCAACGGAAATTTTGGGCTCACCTGTGATCGTAAATTGAGGACTCCCTGTAATCTCACAATTACTCCCAAGACATCGCAGCGGGCCACCTTGACCCCAACCAGCCTAGACTCTGAAAAACCAGATCCTGGAAGGGTGTGTGGTACCTGGCTTTCTCCAGGTCAACAACATCAACTCTGCAGTTCATCAACAGGACATCATCCAGGGACCCCCCAGTCCTGGCCCAGCCAAGCAGACCAAGATTCACATTCTTGATCTCAGTCCCATCTAGCCCTGAGAAGAGCCTCAAGGCTCTTATCCTGGAGGCTCTTCATCTACCTCATACGGTAGGTCCTCAAACCAATTTAACAATCTCAGCTCAGCAATACAAGAGTCATAGGGCACGCTATCATCTACCACGCATGTGCGTTTATCGAAGCTATAGCTGCCAAAAAAGCCATCACAGTCCCAGGCTGCATTAAGAGAAGGATAGAATGAAGATCATGTGAAGCGTTAGTACAACTTTATAAAGCCTTGGTAAGGCCACACTTGGAATACTGCATCCAGGTTTGGTTGTCACGATGTAAAAAACATGTTGAGACTTTGGAAAGAGTCCAGAGAAGAGCAACAAAGATTATCAGGGGACTGGAAGCTAAAATATATGAAGAACGGTTGCAGGAATTGGGTGTGTCTAGTTTAATGAAGAGAAGGACTAGAGGCCATCTTCTAATATCTAAAGGGCTGCCACAAAGAAGAGGGGGGATCAACTTATTCTCCAAAGCACTGGAAGGCAGGAGAAGAAGCACTGGATGGAAACTAATCAAGGAGAGAAGCAACCTAGAACTAAAATAAGTTTTCTGACAGTGAGAACAATCAACCAGTGGAACAATTTGCCTCCAGAAGTTGTGGGTGCCCCATCACTGGAGGCTTTTAAGAAGAGATTGGACAGCCATTTGTCTGAAATGGTATAGGGCTTCCTGCCTGCACTCCACAAGCAATTTCATCAATAGACACATCGACCTACAACCAGCCTATGAACCCTGTCAGAATTCAAATCTACCGCACAACCAACAGTGAGGGCACCAACCCTCAACCAACCCATGCAACCAAACCCCTTCCCTGCAACCAGCACTTCATCTCTCAATGACTCTCACCTGATGTAACCTCCCCATCATAAGACCCGCCACCTGACATGACCCATACCTGACCCATCACCAGAACCCTCACAAGACCCATCAGAAGACCCACCACTTGACGTGGCCCACACCTGACCCATCATGACCCATCACAAGACCCTCACCTGACATGACCCACACCTGACCCTTACAAGATCCATCACTAGACCATCACAAGACCCTCACCTGACATGACCCACACATGACCCATTACAAGATCCATCACAAGACCCATCACAAGACCCTCACCTGACATAACCCACACCTGACCCACAAGATCCATCCTCCTCCCCTGCAACCAGCACTTCATCTCTCAATGACTTTCACCTGATGCGACCTCCCCATCACAAGACCCTCACCTGACATGACCCACACCTGACCCATTACTAGATCCATCAGAAGACCCATCAGAAGACCCCCACCTGACATGACTCCCACCTGACCCATTACAAGATCCATCACAAGACCCTCACCTGACCCACCACAAGATCCATCCCCCTCTACTGAACCAGCATTTCATCTCTCAATGACTTTCACCTGATGTGACCTCCTCATCACAAGACCCTCACCTGATGTGACCCACACCTGACCCATTACAAGATCCATCACAAGATCTATCACTAGACCCACACCTGATGTGACCCCCCCATCACAAGACCTACTAACCACACAAAGCCTTTATAAGCAGAACACCGACACTCACATCCCCTAAACTCCGTTGAAGATGTTACCTAGCCTGGTAACGAAACGTTCAGAAACCAATCCACAAGCTCGGAGAATCAACTTTCATCTTCATCCTCCATCCGAGCTACAGATATTTGCCGCTATCACAATCTCAGCTCAGTCCAAATGTGCTGATTTTGAGTACATTTATGCACCTAGTTTGTTAGTTGCTTTTCTAAAAAAACAGTATATCTCTTCACTGTAGAGAATGAAGAAGGTGATAATTGTTGTTGAGTCACTAAGTCATCTCTGACTCTTCACACCCACGTGCACCATAGCACGCCAGGCCCATCCATCTTCCACTGTCTCCCAGAGTTTACCCAAATCCTTGTTCATTGTGTCGATCCAACCATCTCATTCTCTGCTGTCTCCTTCTCTTTTTGCCTTCCAACCTTCTCAACATTAGGGTCCTCTCCAGTGAACCCTCTCTTCTCATTAGGTGGCCAAAGTATTTGAGTTTCAGCTTCAGATAATAATGAACAACGAAACAACTGAAGAAGACACAACATCAGCTGAGGGGGGGGGGTTCACAAATCCCAAACAGCCAGGCTGGCACAGAACCCATTTGTGAATGACCTCATGGTACTTACTTCCAACTTTGAGGTTGACCCGATCTTTGAGGTGCCACGAAGACCCCTCATAGCAAGAGTACTGTCCGTTGTGGGAGAGGTCCACATTCCGAAGGACAAGGTGGGAGCCGTTGAGATGGGAAGCATCCAGATCAGTGCTGTTGGCCGTCCAGGTGACAGGCGTCCCCTGGTCTACTGAGCTACATGGTATCGTCACATCGGTCCCCAACTGCGCGTAGTGGACGTGGGATTCTGGAGTAGAAAGATAAGGAAAAATAAGATATTTATCTCCTTGGGGCAGTGGGGAGGAGATGGGCTTATTAGTTCATCAACAGCAGAAAGTCTTGAGTTTCCTACATTCAAAAATTGACATGTAACTGGAGGACATTCTCCAGCCTCTGTTGCTACTCTACAATTTCTTGCAGGATTAAAGGAGCAAATCATGATTTTTTAATATATATATATTTATTTATCATGTTTTATCAACAGGAATAAAATGCAAAACAGAGAAAAACATACATCCAACATTAATGTCTATGGAGATTCCCTGTCATCCAGATCACAGTTATCCAGAGGTGCTTTTTCAGGAGACAACTGGACTGTTTTTGGTTTTTTTTTCTGAAGACGTTTCACTTCTCATCCAAGAAGCTTCTTCAGCTCTGACCGGATGGTGGGGAATGGAAGGAGCTAGTCAGAGCAGAATAATCTTCTTGGATGAGAAGCGAAATGTCTTCAAAGAAAAACAAGAAAGTCCAGTTGCCTTGTGAAAAAGCACCTTTGGGATCCAACAGTAACAACAACAAAAATTGTGTACAAAAAAGAAATACTGCATCCAGTTTTGGTCAATATGATGTAAAAAAGATGTTGAGACTCTAGAAAGGGTACAGAGAAGAGCAACAAAGAGGATTAGAGGTCTGGAGGCTAAAGCATATAAGGAAAGGTTGCTGGAATTGGGTATGTCTAGTTTAATTAAGAGAAGGATAAGGGGGGACATGATAGCAGTCTTCCAACATCTCAGGGGCTGCCCCAAAGAAGAGGGAGTCAAGCTATTTTCCAAAGCGCCTGAAGGCAGGACAAGAAGCAACGGATGGAAGCTAACCAAAGAGAGAAGCAACCTAGAACTAAGGAGAAACTTCCTGACAGTTAGAACAATTAACCAGTGGAACAACCTGCCTCCAGAAGCGGTGAATGCTTCAACACTGGAAGTTTTTAAGAAGAGACTGGACAGCTATTTGTCAGAAATGGTATAGGGTTTCCTGCCTGAGCAGGGGGTTGGACTAGATGACCTCCAAGGTCCCTTCCAACTTTATTATTATTATTATTATTATTATTATTATTATTATTATTATTATTATTATTATTATTATTATTATTATTATTATTATTATT